AGTTACAGTAACAGTTGGCCTCATGTACGAATATGACCAGAAAATGCTCATGCCACCCAAAGATGAAGGTTGGCAAAATTCTCGGCATACGGTCTCCCGATTTTCTTCTTGTGGCCAAGATGATGAGCCGACTCTTAAGTTTTCTCACTTTATCCCCCTGGTTACTAATGGTCCTTGTCTCGGGTGTCCGGCCCTTGCAGCTTGCCTCCACACATCTGTCTCCCTCGCGGTATACTCTCTAATTCACCGAGGAACTATCGTACTGGAACGAGAAAGTAACAGCATAGAGAGAATGGACGAAGTGAGACACACCTTATACTTCTAAATTAGAGAAGTACAGTGGGTCTTACTGCATAACGTGCCAAGCCCAGATAAATTATGTCTGGAGCTTGACGTGCCAAGCGGAAATTAAATATGTCTGGAGGTTGATGGGGGGGGTCTCGACGCATGTTGAACGACAGGTGGCAAATGCTGCCATACCCACAGGGTATCCTGAGGAGAGAGAGAAGTAGGTGTGAGTCTAGGAAACTGGCATGTTTGAACAACGCTTTTTTTAGAGGTGCCTTCCCGTTAATTTCCTTCGAGGTACTATCGTGGACACTGTTAGCTATAACACGGCAGCGGCGGCCGTCCCGTACCCCCAGCGCCCCACAGCAGGCGCTGTCCGAAACTCCGCGCATGCGCCATGTGGCGGACTCGCTCTTCCTGCCTGCGAGCACACCCTCGCTTTGTCGTCTGCTAGGCACAGAGCAGACGACGCCACAGCGCTCGCCAATTTTCGCTGAACACGGCACCGCGTAAGAGGTGCCCACGGTTGATCTCCTGACTCCGCTGGCTAACGATAATCATCGCCACTAAATGTAACATCACGGTAGATTAAATGTTTTATGGGACAAACTTGCAGTTATTTTCCGTTTCACTTTAGGTCTAAGCGCAGCGGACGCTACGAGACGATAGGACCAACAAACAGCGGCAAAAGCACTTTTTGCACCTTATTGGGTCCCCCGGTGATGCACTCCGTGACGTTGCACCTTTGCCGCTATTTGATTGGCTCTGTCGTTTTGTAGCGTACGTTGCGGTTGGACTTAAGGTGAAACGGAGTATAACAGTCTATTTCTGTATCACACATCCTGCGCTCATGCTGGTTTGTGAACGCATATTGGTAAAAATGCATTGCGCACGCCTGTTCCTGAAAAAGCAAAAAAAAAAACTTAAACAGAGATTGTGTTTTAATGACTCTGCAATCTGCGCTAATAAAAATCGCCGGTTTAAAATGAGTTTGAGACGAGTTCGCTATGGCGAGGATACCAGACGAGCAGCACTGTGGCATCGCCTGGTCTGCGCCTAGCAGACGACAAAGCGAGGGCGTGTTCGCAAACGGGAAGAGCGAGTCCGCCGCACGGCGTACGCGCGGAGTTTCGGACGGCGCCTGCAGTGGGGCGCTGGGGGTACGAGACGGCCGCCGCTGCCGTGTTATAGCTAACAGTGTCCACGATAGTACATGCATCTGACTAGTCCATTCAAAATTTTGTTCAATGTACCCAGTCAACTTGCATAGCCTGTTTGCAAATATATAACAACTGGTAAATTTACATTTTATAATGTTGCTTTTTATGTATGCTTATACTTTGATGTTAACTTAAATTTTATGTTTTTACAGATTAGCAAACCCCAGGTTCGGTCCTGATTAGCGTCATTTGCCACACTACTTGTATTTTTCCAGTAAAGTGGTGTGAAAGCTTCGAGACCTGGAGGTTGCAAAATCATTAAGTGTGAACAAGCAAATCATTAGGTTCGACCGTTTTAGAAGTGACGTCCGTCGTACATACGCCTAAGAAATTAACCGAGTAGCACATACTGGCGTTCGAGAAAAGGCGATCGTGCCATGCCTGACGTGAAGGACAGCACAAGCACATTAAGAAATCTTTGTACCCACCAGCAGGGAATTTGAAGCGGAATCCGGGAATCTCGAACGGCGAAGTGAGTCCCCGGCTTTTTGGCTTTTGCATGAGCAGGCCCATTTAGAGCATAATCATAGCGGGATTCGGTAACTCACCTGACAATAAAACGCCAAGCAAAAATCCAACCGAAAGGTTGGATTTTTGCTTGGCGAAAATCCAACCGAAAGAGAAACTCGCAGAACAGCAACACGGAGAGCGCCGACAACGCGACCGGCGACGTTTGAAAACATGGCTTCGGTTAGGGCAATGAACTTCTAAAGATAACGGGCACTGCTCGGTTTTTCTTTCCATATTGGTTTACCATTATAACCTAGCTTATTATGTTTTCTAAAAATATTAACATTATCGCACTCAGTTTATCGCAATTGTTTTCAACCTTTTCTTTTTTTTTTACATTTTTAGTTGTCGCCATCCGGCTTGAGGAGTGCTGTGGATGCGCGATTACCGGAAGTGGCCTTCACTGGGACCACTGGTTATGATTTCACTGTGAGAGGCATTGTGGCTACAGGAGCCGAGGAGCCGCGGCCGCTCTATATTTTGCTTTTCACCGACGCCGGCCATGAGTTCTGGGGTGGTGGGTTCGCGGCTGGTTGCGACGACGACAGGAGCCACGAAAAGACGCCAAGTTGGCCGAGTACGAGTCACGGCCCACGGTACGAGCCGTACGAGCAACGGGCCGTTCGCCGCTGTCGACCGGTGATGCGGTATCCTCGGCTTGGTGTCACGATCAGTTTGTTTCCCTCCACGTTGGCCTTGCTATGCGGTACGGCTGGTGCGGTTGTCGAATACTTGTGGTGCACATTATTCGAGACAGTCGCCCCAAGACGTCGCCATGAAGAGTTGACAGAGGAATTGGTGAGCTTAACGTCGGTGTATGTTTCGTTTCGACATGTATGGTATATGTAACGATACCGGTGGTATATGATGGACGTTTTTGTTGGAAGAATACGGTCGCCTTTCTGCATGTATAATTTGGTGATGGCGGTGGTCCTGTGGTATAGGTGTTTGGTTGGAAAGATAACGGTCGCCTACGTCATCGGACGAAAATCATACCACCCACACCGAATCATATCGGCAAGCAAACTGGCTGCCATAGCGGTGCCGGTATCTCAAGTTTTGCAGAACGCCATACCAAACTAGCTGCATATATAATAACAAAAAAATTAAGTTGGTGTCATACGATAATTGTACAAGCAGCAGGTATGTTTCTTGTACGTTTTTCCAAAGGGTGGTTGCAGCTGAAAAAGACCCGTTCCCTCTACTGACGTCTAACTCCTGGTTAGCAGACTTGGCAGAGCGAAGCTTCCCTGAAAATGGAAAGGTCTCCCAGGCAGCACACCAATGTCGGTCCGACATTGGCCTAACATTGGCAAAGACCGGCCTCAATATTGGACAATATTGGAAGCGCTACCCTTTTCAATGTTGGCCCAGCGATTGGTGCCAACGTTGGGCCACTGTTCAGCCATCGTTTTAGCCGATGTCGGCCCCATCATTGGTGCCAATGTTGGGCCATCGCTAAACCATGGTTCCAGCCAAGGTGCTCCCACATTGGCGAAGACCGGCTTAATATTGGACAACACTGGAAGCGCGACCCGATCCAATGTTGGCCGTCATGCTGATTTTTGGCCATCGTTGCACTCGCCCAGCTCTTTTCAAGTGCACTCGCCAAGTTGTTTGCAAAAAGGAAGGTAAACAGACACAAGGGATTGTTTTGAAATCTCCTAAAAGTTTATTACACACAGCTTATTCTGTAGACAAGCACAATCTCAGCAATTTGTAATATGTGAAGAGGTAGTACTCAGCTGTGATACAACTAAGAAGACACCCCAAGCAAGCAACAACCGGGGTAATTCTTGGGTAGTGTCCAGTCTCCCGGTAGCTGTCAGAATTCTTTCCCCAAAATTCTACCACTAGTCGCCCCTCATTGGTGGTGCAATCAGTTCATCGAACTACATTTCATAGACAGATCGTTTCATCAACACGCGATGTTTCATAAAAAAACTCAAAATGTGTTTTCTTTTCTTCTTTTTTTTTTTTGTTGCAATGAACCGCTTCAGACTTAGCATGAAGCGGCGTGAAAGTGTGGGCTGGTTCGGTGAGCACGCGCCTCAGGAATAGACGCGCGACGAAATGCCCCTACAGCGCGCAATTCGCGTAACGAATGTCGATGAAACGTAAATGTCGACCAAAAAAGTGGCCACGAAACGTGTTTTTGCGAAACGCAGGTAGAATAAAAAAGTCAGTATTCTACCTACAGTTGTGACATTATTTCAGACAGATAATGGCAGGCGACTGTCGGTAAGATTGCGGGAAAATTATTTTCCCAGCTGCCAGGAGATCGGCACTGCGCAATTCTAGAGGTTATCCGGAAGATTACCCATAAAAGAACGGACAATGATCACCAACTAGGTTGCAGCACACTTACGTTGAAAATACCGGACTTGAAAGATGTAATCCGACTTATATGTCAACACGGGCACTGCAGACAGAAGAACCACTCAAACACAAAAACAGAAGGAAGTGATCCGTGAAGATTCAACACGATGTAGCACAGGCTGCCATTTGCCGAACCGAACACTAAACTGTTCACAAGAATGTCTGGGGCTTCTTTGAAGAAATCGACACGAGTAGGACTTTTCGAACGAGATACCATTTACCACAGAAGCGAAATTCACAGCGGGCCAGCACCCCGCAGGCCGCATCACGCGCGAAACTAGGTCCGGTCTTTGCGACGCAGGCATTCCGAGTCTGTCAACGACTAATGCGTCATCCGTCAAAACACGTGATCACGCTCATCGTGCTCCCCTGCCTCCTCGGCCGTAGAAATCTTCCCTGCACCTCGACGTCTGGTACTCGAACGTGCGCTCCATCAAGAACAAGCTTCGCGAACTGAGTGCACTCGTCGAGTCTACGCCCCACACCGTATTCGCTCTTACCGAGACCTGGCTCGACCCGTCAATTCACGACGGTCAAATCGCGGACACCGAAAGATTCCAAATATTTCGGAAGGATCGTACAACCTCTCGCGGTGGCGGTGTCATGCTCATCGCTCCATACAACTTGCCATGTAGACGCCGACGCGACCTTGAACAAGACTGTTTAGAGGCTGTGTTCGTTGAGGCCCGTTGTGGCAATACGTCCGTGCTCCTGATATGTGCCTACTCCCCGCCCAAACTCCAGGCAGCCTCCTTTGATGCTCTGCAAACATCCATTCACCTAATACAGCAATCTAAATTCACCAACATCTACCTCATGGGCGATTTCAACACACACATAGACTGGACTGACATGACGTCCCCGATCCCATCGGACCCACTGTCCCATGCTCTTCTTGATCTTACTGAATCATCCGACTTCATACAGTGCTGCCCTGATCCCACGTACTCTTCCCCCTCAGGCACTAAAGCCAACCTGGACCTCTTCTTCGCCACAAATCCCTCCCTATTGTTGGACTGCACTGTCGAAGACAGCCTCACTAACTGCGACCACAGGGCTATCTACGCCCGCACATACATGGCCCTTCCTCGACTCGGTCGGTTCGCCCGTCTGGTGCGCCGCTTCTCTCTCGCCGACCTAGCCCACCTACAGATGTTGCTCCACTTGGCCCCGTGGTCCATGGTGCTCACGGACGACTCCGTGGACGACATGTACGAACTATGGCGTGACTTCATTGAAGCGATCGTGGCTGAATGTGTCCCAAACTCCTCTATACGGCGGCGGCAACATGCCCCCTGGATCACATATGACATCATCAAACTGTCAAGACGAAAGCGCAAGCTCTTCCATAGAGCGCGGAAGCGCTCCTGCGTAACTAGTCTCGAGGCGGCCAAGAGTACCCAGAGAGAAATCAAACGCCTCGTCCACGTATCCTACAAGAAGTATGCCTGTGATGTTGCAGCACGCGCTGCTAGGGAGCCGAAACTTTTCTGGGCCTTTGTTAAGTCTCAACGGAAGTCCTCCTACATCCGACCGTACCTCACACAGAACAACCATTCTATTACCGACCCTGCTGCCATCGCTGACCTCTTCAACCAACACTTCTCATCCGTCTGGCTTCCCGAAGACCTCCTCCCCACGCCACCTCCCGACCCACCCGCACTGCCCAGCTCCTTATCCTCTATCACAATAACTGATGAAGACGTCACAAATTCTCTCGCTCTACTCAAGTCCTCTCAAAATGCCGGCCCTGATTCCATTCACCCATCCCTCCTAAAGCTCTCCTCTCCTACCCTAACGCCCATTCTAACCATAATGTTCCAGAAAATTGTTGACTCGGGCACAGTCCCCTCTGCGTGGAAACACTCTCTCATCACACCTGTCCTCAAAAGAATTGACCTCAGCACTGACTCGACAGACTCTTATCGTCCTATCGCCTCTACATCAGCTGTCTGCAGGACCTTGGAGAGAATTGTGAACAAAAAGGTCCTGCAATACCTAGAAGCAAACTGCTTACTCAGTAGTGCTCAACACGGTTTCAGGCAGGAACGAAGCTGTGAAACCGCCCTCGCTGTGGCTGTTCACACCATCAGCTCGTCCATCGACAACCGTGTTCCCTGTGAACTAATTCAGCTACACTTCTCCAAGGCCTTCGATCGGATCAGCCACACGCTCCTATGCTACAAACTCCGCAACGTTAGAATCTAAGGTACCCTCCTGCACTGGCTACACGACCTTGTCTCGGCCAGGACTCAGCGAGTAACCTTCCATAGATCAACAAAAGCAACACTGGGCGCCATGACGAACGGTCACGTTTTGAAGTGCGTGCGCTTGTTTATGCTTTGGTTTGCGCTCTCAACGCTTAGGTACTCTTCGCCTGCGGCGCTCTTTCCACGCAAACACCTCGCGACGCAACATGACCATCGTCAAGCATATTTCGATCGTCTGGAGTGGAGCACAGCGGCGGCACTCACTCGCGGATTTGCTAAGCCTACCCGCTTCGGCCCGAACCCGTCACCGGCGAAAAACCGGACGTACTGCCGCCCGACCTCCGTCCTTCAACCTCATGTGTGCTTGATTCTGCTCTGTGCTGGCGATGTACCGCTCAACCCGGGACCGTGTCCTACTTGTCCTCGCTGCTGCAAGCCGCTCTACGACAGCGTGGTGGCGTTACAATGCGACGGGTGCAACATCTGGGTCCACAGGAAATGTGAGCAGCTCTCATTGCCTACCTATCGGCGTCTGTCGAACTGCACAGAACCATGGTACTGTGGCGTGTGCCAGCTGCCATCGTTCGACGACAGCCTTTTCGAAGCGCCGAAGCAGCCTGCACTAACGACGATCGCATCACCTACCACAGCCGGGGATAGACCAACGGCTCCCGGTACCACGGAAACAAGGAAAACAACCTCCTTCTGGTTCTCCAACCTCAGGTCCGTGAAGAACAAAATGCTGGAGTTCCGGGTGCTCACTGAGTCCCGCCCCAACACCATATTCGCCTTGTGTGAGACTTGGCTGGACAACTCCATTTACGACAGCCAGCTCGTCGACCTGACACGGTTTAAAGTCTACAGGAAAGATCGTAACAGGTCTGGTGGTGGAGTTCTCGTCGCCATACCGTCGTCAATCACATGCACTAGAAGACACGACCTAGACCGGAACGACCTCGAGGCCATTTTTGTGGACCTTCATTCAAAACGGGGCCTTCTACATCTCTGTGTTGCGTACTGTCCCCCCAGCAAGAAAACAGAAAGCTACGATTTGTTACAGTCGTCGCTGTCCTCCGTTACCCTCTCAAAGAAGAAGTACTCCAACGTGCTAGTTGTCGGAGACTTCAATGCGCACATTAATTGGTCAGACTTAAGCTCTCCCAAGCCCACAGGACCATCTGACACTGTCCTCCTCGACCACATAGAAACACTCGGACTTACCCAAGTATGCAGCGAGCCAACTTACGTCACCACCAATAACCACGTTTCTTTCCTCGACCTCATGTTCGTCTCTAACCCCACACTCGTCTCAAATTGTTTCACAGAACCCAGCCTCACGGGCTCTGACCACAAAGCATTGACTGCGACCACATACCATCATTTGCCTAAATCCGGTCCTCATGCCAGACGCCTCCATAACTTTGCAAGATTGGACACCAACCACCCGAATTCGCTTATACACCTCGCCCCTTGGGGCATGGTGCTCCAAGACAACCATGAAGACCCATATGACATATGGCTCGACTTTATGCACGCCATCGAAGCTGAATGCGTCCCCTCCAGAAAAAGCCGAAACAAACCCCGAGCGCCTTGGATAACAAAGGAGATACTGCTCCAAGCCCGACGGAAGCGTCAGCTGTTCGCACAAGCAAAGCGAAACAGCTGTCCCTTTACACTTGAGGCAGCCCGCACCCTCCAGAGAAACCTGAAAAAACAGATAAGAAAGTCTCACCAAGATTATGCTTTGGACATGGCACAACGGGGTGTAAGGGATCCAAAGATATTTTGGGCCTATGTAAGGCGTAACAAACAGAACACGTCTGCTCTAAACATATGCCAGGACGGCAAGGCTCTGAGTGACTTGGAGACTGCGGAACTTTTTAGCAAGCACTTCGCCGCAGCATGGACACCACCCTGCAGCCTCTCATCACAACCAGAAACTTGCCCATCATCATCGCAGTCGGCCTCCTCGCCCCGCTTAGCTAGTATCCTTATCAACGAGGATGATGTCAAGGAGGCTCTCACCCGACTGAGTCCTTCACAGTCGCTTGGTCCTGACGGCATCCACCCTGCGCTCCTTAAAGCATCTGGTCAACAACTAGCCCCATTACTGGCCCGACTGTTCCAGCAGCTCTTGGACACTGGGTGCGTCCCCGCCCCATGGAAGCAGGCTTATGTCACTCCCATCTACAAAGGGAATGGATCCCCAGCAGACAAGCCAGAATCCTACAGACCAATCTCAACAACATCAGTCGTCTGCCGTACCATGGAGCGTGTGTTAAACTCTGCCCTACACAGATACTTAAACGCCCACACTCTTCTGTCTCCAGCGCAGCATGGCTTTCGCCCTAATCGAAGCTGTGAAACTGCCCTGCTCACTCCTGTTCACCAGATCAGTGACAGCCTGGACAACTCCACGCCATGCGAACTGGTACAGCTCGATTTTACCAAAGCGTTTGATAAAGTAGACCACCAGCTCCTGATAACCAAACTGGAAAGCACCGGTATCGAGGGTCCCCTCCTTCGCTGGCTATCTAACTTCATCCTGCAGAGACAACAAAGTGTGACGTTCCACGGGTCAAGGTTCCAATCCCGAACCGTTCAATCTGGAATCCCCCAAGGCACAGCACTTGGTCCAACCCTCTTTTCAATCTTTATCAACGATATCGTCCAGGTTATAGACTCCGCCACCATCATGTACGCTGATGATCTCACCCTCCTTCAACCGATTCAATCCCAGGAAGACTATAAACAACTGCAACAAGATCTTGATCACATCCAAGCCTGGACGATCAGAAACAAATTACCCCTGAGTGCATCAAAATCTGCTACAATTCACTTCACCACAAAAAGGAAAGCACAGAATCCACCAGTAATTTTAACTGTTAATGGAACTCCATTGGAACAAAAGGAGAACATAACCCTGCTGGGTGTCACCCTTGACAGCAAATTGAGCTTTACTGCACACGTCCACTCCGTCGCCTCACGTGCACGGCGGATGCTGGGATTCGTGCAAACTATCAGTAAGGGTCTGGGGCCTGCTGTGCTGGCGCAGCTGTACACTGCACTGGTCCTGCCCCTATTAGAGTATTGCTCGCCTATCTGGTCGCCACAGGGAGCCTCAGCTCAGGCGACACTAGAGACCATCCAGCGGCGAGCAGCTTACGGCGTCTACTGCCGAACCTCTCCAAGTCCTCGCTTTTTGCCACGGGACATCTCGACAACCCAGCTCTTGAGAGCAGCCAAGTGGAGTACTCTGTCCCGCCGGCGAGATGTAGCCACCCTACGGTTGCTGGCTCAGGTGATTGGTCCTGGGATTTCGCAGGACGACTACCTTCGCTCTGTGCCCCGTCGCAACGAACGAACCGGGCGCATAGACCCTCTCTTCGCTCGGACCCAACGGCACGACAACTCATGTCTCCTCCGGGCTGTGAGACTTTGGAGGTCCCTGCCTGACGCCATCACCAGCTTGCCCATCACAGACAGAGACGAGGTGACACAGTTCTGCAAGGCAGCAGCCAAACACCTCTAAACACCCACGATGTCTTGCATACCTCATCATACGTCACCCACCTCACTTTTCACCCTCTTCACCATCCCATCATCATCGTCCCACACTTCTCAAGCCAAGAAGCCTCGCATCGCCATCATCGTCTAGCTGGCCACATAGGCACATATGTGTACGGGCGGAAACGCCTTCTATGCGACCTGTACTTAAATGTACAAATAAATATCTATCTATCTATCTAACATCCTCCCCTTGCACCGTGCTCTCCGGCGTCCCCCAGGGCAGCGTGCTGGGGCCAACCCTCTTCACAATTTACATCAACGATTTGACCACCAGCTTCAGCACAAAATCAATCCTATATGCAGACGACCTTACACTTATTCAACCCCTGAGAACCACCGATGCCTACAGTGGGCTCCAGTACACCCTAGATCTCTGCCACCGCTGGTCGCAAGTTAACGGCCTACCCCTCAACTGTGCCAAAAGTGTGTGCATGACCATCTCCCACTCAGTGAGGTCACAATCTGCACCACCAGTCCTCACGTTAGGCGGCTCCCCCATACCTCGTGTGTCCCACACCAAATTGCTCGGCGTCACCCTTGACGACAAATTGGATTTCCACCGCCACATCTGCGATGTAGCGTCCAAAGCCAGGCGGACACTGGGCTTCGTTACCCATCTCTCTCGCGACCTTCCACTAGAGGCATTCAGAAACCTCTACACTGCCCTCGTCTTGCCCCAGCTGGAGTTTTGCTGTGCCATCTGGGGCCCACTGCAGCAGTCACGTCAAAATGCCCTAGCAAGCATTCAAAGAAGGGCTGCTTTTACGTTCTACCGCCGCAGTACCCCCGGAAGTAGCCTCCTCAGTTACCGTGATGTTAGCACCGACTCTCTCCTCCGCAACGCTAACTGGCGGTTGCTACAACATCGAAGAGACGTTGCCTCCATCCGGCTGTTTCGTCGTGTTATGAGTGCGGACGACATGGACTGCCCCAATATACCACGTCTCAACAGGCGTAGCGGTCGTCTGCAGCCGGTGCTGGCGCGCACTCTCCGCCACAGGAGAACATGTCTCCTACGAGCCGCTGAACTCTGGTTGGCCCTACCCCCGGAGCTGACCGCAGTGATCCCTAAGGACAGGGACTCTATAAAAGAACTTTGTCAATTGATATCCTGGCAAGATGGCTGGCACCTGTGACCTGTCTCCCGTAGGCTGGGAGCGCTTTAGTGCTGATAGTTTTTTTTTTCTCGTTGTTGGGTGTTGGTTGGCGTGGGCTGCTGATCGGATCTGGGTGTTGTGTCGGTGTTAGGCTGGGACTCGTGTCCACCCGGCGTGATGATGCGGCACCCGTGTCCGGTCTGCGCTTGTGCCGGCCGATATTCGTTGGCGGGGAGCTTTCGGTGCTGGGCGTTCTTGTCTGGCGGATTTTACCCTCTAAATCTGTGCAACCCTCCCTTCCCCTTTTTAATATATATACATGTATATGTGTGTGTATGTATGTGTATATATGTGTATGTATATATTGTATATACTGTATCTACCATTCGCCTCTAGGTGGGTGGCAAGGGCACACACTGTGCATGGGCTCCCTGCCTTTCCTTGTCGCCTGCACGCCTGGTGTGAACTCCCTCGAGTGCAATAAAGAACTATTGAACTATTGAGCTATTGAACTATTCTGCCGTTACCCGCGCACAGAGAGCGGATTCAAGTCCGGCGAGTACGCACCGTCACCACGCCTTCAGCTTAGGGAGAGACAGAAAAAAGAGAGGAGTACAAAGCAAACAGGCCAGAACGGGGGTGGGGTGCGGTTACAAAGGCTAATCTTCAGGGGCATCTCAACAATGAACGGAGCGAGAGAATTTGTCACTTCTAGCCAAGGTTGATAGTGCAGTAGATGTTATGCGTGACCTTGTGCTTTAGGCAGGTTCCGTGCTCTGCCTTATTACCAGCTTCGAGACAGTAGTCACGTGACCCTAGCCGCGGAGACACGATTGGCCTTAAACACGCATAGCGTCTACCCTGCTGTCAATACCGATTTAACAGGACAGCTCTTTGAAGGTCAGCTTTCGAACTTCTAAAGAAACTGTCCAGTCCAAAAGTGTTTCTAAACGGGGCAAGTTTGGAGACAGTATGTTTTGCGTCGTATAACTTACATTATAATTTAGAATGAAGAACTAAGCGCGACTATTTTTTGCGCACGATCTACACAAATATATCTATAAATATATAAATATATTTTTATCAATAAATTTAAAACTGTTTGTACACTGTTAGGTTCGCGTTTTTAAACTTCAATTTTTTTTACGACAGAGTTACACATAAAAGACACCCCGAACAGCACATCGCCCGACTTTCAACACACGATGAATCGCCGACGCTCGCAGTCAGAAGGTTGCGATGCTGCGCGAACGGTTTCTGAAAGATGCTGCGTAGGGTACGCCGGGCGCAATGGCTTCGCGACCGTTCGAAGTGCAAATGATTCGCGACAACAAAGTAGCGTCTTGCAGCTTCAGTAATCTAACGGGGCTCGAGAGTCCCACGCTCACATTTCCGCAGAGCGAGCGCGGCCGGCCAGATCGAGGCGCAGTATGCTCTCGCGTCGCGATTGCTACGTCGTTGCTCTGCCTACACTGATGACATGTGCACTGGCAGTCAAAGCAACCCTCTCGAGACGTCACTCGAGTTTAAAATATGACTTTATAGCGCGATAGACTCTCGTAAAAATAAAAGTCGAAGTCACTTCGGTTGCGGCGTAAGCGGCGGCTTTATGTTTGTTGACACCTGCGTCGACAATGACTAAATATGCACGGAAACATTAAATATAAAAATAGAGCACGCACAAAGAAATACAAACATGGCAGGGTCATGGACAAAGATAAGACGTTAACGCTACGTATACATACAAAATGCATTGGAAAAGACAAAAATACTTAAATCTAAAAAACGGAATTAAGTTGTCACCGCCGAGGTAAGGCAATGCGAAGGGAGAGAAGCCATCAAAAAACTGCAATAGTCCTATAGGCAGCTAAGGACGTATTTGTGATCGCGTTTATAAAGCGCCGGCGACGTACGCCCCATGAAGTTGGCTAAATAAAATTCTGGCCCGAGCGAGCTCATGAATGACTCTTTTCCAATTTCCTACCTTTGCAATGCAAAAAAGAGGGTCGCTGGTCTACAGCCTAGGCGACACAAATATCGATAAGCCATTGGCTATGGCAGTACAATATTGACCAGCGTATACCAATACATCACCAATATTGGAAGACTCTTGGCTTTGACAGATTAATATTACCCAGCTTAAGCCAGCGTATATTCAATATCGGAAAACCATTGGCTCTGACAGTCCAATATTGTACAGGTTATGCCGGCGTGTATCCAATATAGGAAAGCTATTGGCTTAGACAGTCCAATATTGGACAGCTTATGCAGGCGTATAGCCAATATCAGAAAGCTAGTGGCTCCGACAGTCCAATATTGGACAACTTATGCCGGCATATATCCAATATTGGAAAACTATTGGCTTTGACAGTCCAATGTTGACCAGCCTATGCCAACGTATCCCAATATTGGGAAACCATTGGCTTTGATAGTCTATTATTGTCCAATGTGTTTCCAATATTGGGAAACATATGGCTCAGTTGGGCCATTGTTGGGCCATTCTTTGCCACCTCAAATCCAATGTTCGCCTAATACTGTGTGCTGCCTGGGCTGTGTTTTGATACGAGGATCAGGTGAATATTTCCGTTAAGCACCAGTCACCTAGTTGCGCTTGGAGATTTGCGCTTTTCCTTTCCCCTTTGTTCCCTTCTCCAGGGAATATTAACGTTTTTTGTTTTTTTTTTGCAGCTCGCTTTTACCTATGCATTATTTGAATTATCATAATAAACTTAAAATAGAGGGCGTTAATTCTCGTTGGCATTAGACTGGTGACTGCTGATAAAACCCATTTGCTTTACTGACTTCTAACTCCTGGTCATCTCAGTTGGTAAGGCGCTCTACTGGAAATGGAAAGGTCTCTGGTTTGATACCACGATCAGGAGACTTTTTTCGGGGGGTCTTGCACCAGTCACCTAGATGTGATAAGAGATGTATGTTTGTCTTTTGTCATCTTAGTTCCCCTTCTGCAAGGATTATCATCGTCATTCTTGTCCAGCTTGTTTACATCTTTAAACTCATACCATTATCATCAGAAACTTAAAATGCAGGCCGTTCCTCCTTGTTGGCGTGAGACTTGTAACAGCTGATAAAACCTTGTTTGATCAGTTCGCTGAACGCTCTACTGGAAATAGAAGGGTCGCTTTTTCGATACCCGGTCAAGGCGGATTTTTTCGGTCGCAAGCCAGTCCCATAGCTGTTTTTGGGCAATTGTTGTATTTTTCCTTTGTCGATATTGTTTACCTACTCTATGGATTATTATCGTTATACTTGTCCAGCTTGCTTGCACCTTTGCATTAGTTGCATTATCAACGTAAGCTTAAAATGCTGGCCGTTCACCCTTGTAGGTGTTAAACTTGTGGCAGACAAAAAGCCCCTTTGCTTTTACAGTCGTCTAACTCCTGGTTACCTCAGTTGGTAGACCGCTCCAATTGAATCGGAAAAGCTCCTGGTTCGATACCAGGACCATTCGGATTTTTGCGGTCGCGCAACAGCCATCTAGTTGTGTTTGGGGATTTGTGTTTGTCCTGTGATTGCCGTGTTCCACTTCTACATGGAATATTATCGTCACTTTTGTCCATCTCGCTTGCACATTCGCAATAATTGCGTTATCATGATAACGTTAAACTTCAGGCCGTTCACCCTTGCTGGTTTTAGACTTGTTGCAGCTTTTAAAACCCGTTTACTCTAGTAACGTTCAAACCCTGGTTAGCTCAGCTGGCAGATCGTTCCACTGGAAATGGGAAGGTCCCAAGTTTGATTGGGTGGATTTTTTTGGTCGCGAACCAGCCACCTAGCTGTGTTTGGAGATTTCTGTATCTTCTTTGTCCCCCTTTTTCTGCTTTTCCGCGGAAAATAATCGCCATTCTTGTCCAGCTCACTTGCACCATTGCATTACTTGCACGAACATTATAACCTTGCAATGCAGGCGGTTCACCCTTGTTGCCGTAAAACTTGCGGCAGACCTGCTGAACAAAACAAACAAAAAACATTGAGTGCAAGTATGAAAGTGAACGGGTTCATACCGATAACAGTTTAGCCATACCACTCAACCGCTTGTCAAAGGGGTCGCATGTATGGCTCAAATGGGTCACCCGCTTTAGCCATAACGGTCACCCGTTTGATCAAACAGGTCCCTCCTTGTGCAAACGAATCACTCGTTTGAGCAAACTTATCGCACGTCTGTTCAAACGGGCAACCATGTTGCACAAACGAGAGACCGGCAACCTGTGCCGGTTTAATCAAACGGCTCTCCGAAGCCCGTTTGATATGGACCTATTCGCAACTCCAGCGCGTCGCTCGCCCTCCCGCGGACGAGCGGAGAACTAGAGGAACGGAGACGGCAGCGGCGGTGGCGGTGCGGAAAAGGGCTGTCGGCCTTGATGCGTGAAGCCGTTTTAACGAAAAAAAGTGAGCCCGTTAAAATAGGAATTCTTGTGCTCCGCCTCGCAACAGCGTTGCACGAAGGACCGGGATGTCAAATTTCATTAGGGACGTTTCGTATATTGCACACGCTGCGGATTGCTGGTCTTGTGCATGGCCGCCAGCTCAATCTGTGCTCAATGTGACGGCAAACGCTCCGCTAACAATGTAGAGTATAGCGTACGGTCTACGAAAAGTCTATTCTTTGCCCTAACTTAGGAGAAAACTGGTCGCGCAACGACATGTCGAGCAATACACGTCGGGAATGGGTTTGCGTTTTAAGACCGTAGGAACATGACCATTCATTCCAGACACTTTTAAAAGGTAGAACACGCGTACTTGCTTTCGGGTAATTACAAAGTAAGTAAAGAAATGCCCGAAGCATTTTAAGAGCGTCTTTGTCAGCCAGCCGTTCGTGACGAGAGCTTAGAACCGGCAGTTTTGGCGAGAGGGACCGCAACGTTGCAAATAAAACGGTACATAAAAAACTTCATGGTATATTAAAATATGCATTTTTGGCACAGCAATAAATAAAACCCCTAAACCCATAAATACGCCGATTACGTTAGTAGGCAGTCTAAGCAAAGCGTTTCTGCAGGCTACCATTGGATACCGTGAGC